CTAGGAGGGATTCAGGCCACAATCTGGCAGTTGAAACAAATCAGCAATAAAGCCATCTCCCAAGGATGTGTGTCCCAGGTTGAACTGGCAGCCCTTAGGAGGCAGTCACAAGGTTGGGGGAGCCAGCTCGGCCCTGGGGGACAGTGATAATTAGGAGACATCTTAGAGAACAAAGGTCCCATGGCAGTGGTGGGAATAGTCAAGCAGGGAAGCGACAGAGGCAGAAGAAGCCTCTGTTTCCATGTCTTCATCCATTCCTATCCCAGGTTTTGGGTACATGACACAGCAACTGATGAGCTTGGCAGGAGGAGCCGTGGTTTTGGCCTTGGAGGGTGGCCATGATCTCACAGCCATTTGTGATGCCTCTGAAGCCTGTGTGACTGCCCTGCTAGGTAACAAGGTGAGACCCTTCTCCACACCCATCTGGGGCAGAGGAGAAGATAGGTTCTTAAGGCATAGAACTGGGGATGACTGGAATCTGAAAGGGGACTGCATCTGCAGTCCAGGTCAAGGCCAAGAACCCAGGAGGCTCTAGGTATGGGGGCAGGGTAAGGTATCTGGACCCTGTAGGTGATTGGTATGTACATTTCCTATAGGTGGATCCCCTCTCTGAGGAGAGCTGGAAACAGAAACCCAACTTAAATGCTATTCGATCCCTGGAAGCTGTGATCCGGGTGCACAGTGAGTAAAGAGATGATAGGACAGCCCTCTAAGAAGGTCAAAGAGGGCATAAAAATCAACCTTCTCATGCAGGGACCCATTCCATGGGAGTTTTGCTAGGGCTGTAGGTACTAGACAATGGAACACAGTACAGGGTTCCCCCAAGGCTACCCAAAAATAATGGTGTGATCTACACATTCCCTCAAATTAGCACTCAGTGGAGGCTCTCCTATGCCTCTGGTGGCAAGTACTCCTGCGTCAATTAGCCAGAGCTTAGACCTTTTAACAAGGGTCCTAGGTCCTGCCTGATTTGGGAATTGATGTGTAAATGTTCCTGGGACTTCAAAAGTGTATGTAATGTGTAGATTCGGGGAGTTAAGGACCAATCCATTTCCCCAACATGTTTCCAAAACATGTACTATAGGTATTGAAGTCCACAAGCTGACCCATTGCTGCCTTTAGGAAGAGTCCTAGAAAAGGGTGGGGATAGGGCAACAGGGCAGCCTTCTCAGCTGCAGTACAAGGGGCTTTGGGAAAGCATATCCTGGACAGATTTACCCGAGTCCCAGGCCTGAAGCAGGAAAGGACACGAACCTTACAAAGCTGGAAAGGTTACGGAGGCCCCTCTGAATCCATTACGCTGAACAGGCACAGGAGCCCAAGCCACATTGTCACTTCTGTGTTAAGAACCGATACCTTCTCTGTCACTCACACTTTTCCACATTGGCATTTCCGGTCCCATCAACCTCTGAACCTGTGCCCATGCTTTTCTTTATAGTTTCTTAGGTTTGCTTTCATTGCAAATCTTATCTGGGAGCTGGGAAGCAGTGCAAAATGGGTGCACGTGTGGAATTTAAGGGGAGGAAAGAGTGAGCTGAGGACTAGCTTATGTTAATGTCTGAAGCTACAGACCTTTTTCTGCAGAACTCAAGACACCTAGCCCCTGGATGTGTTTCCATACTCATGATCAGGATATGTAGAATCAATCCTGAATCTTACTCAGTCTCTTATTTCAGGTAAGTATTGGGGTTCGATGCAATGGTTGGCTTCCAGTCCAGATTCTTGGGTCCCCTCGGTGACAATGGCTGACACAGAAGAAGTGGAGACAGTGTCAGCACTGGCCTCACTCTCCGTGGGCATCCTGGCAGAAAAGAGGTAACTCCCCTACTCTGTACCCCCAACAGCCTCTTTAGTCTGGACTTTGGAATCTATCTGTATTATTTACAGCCCTCCAGTCTTCTCTCTTGATTACACCTAGACTCTATCAGTCCTAACCTTTGCTAGCTTTTCTCCTTCTATTTTCAGTGCCTAACTCAGAGATGGCAGGGTCTCCCGCTGACCTCAGCCTTCCCTCTCTGAGTTCTCTAACTCTAGCCAATTTCTGCCTCTTCTCCCTCCCAAACCAGGCCCTCAGAGCAGCTGATGGAGGAAGAGGAGGAGCCTATGAATCTCTAAGGCTTCAGGACAAACCAATCCATCATCCACTCCTGCCCTTCAGACCTAGATCTTCTAACCAGTGGCCACTGTGTCTAGTCCTTGAGGTTTCAGATTATAAGGGTCCTGGTCTGAAGCCTGCCAGCCCTACTCCTCCCTTGACGGTCACCCCACACAACTTGGGAGTATCCCCAAGCCCTAGGGAGGGGAACAGGGAAAAGTCTCCAGAAAGAAACTAAGTTAGAGAGATAAGGGAGTGGTGTTCAGCCACTGCCGCACCCCTGGACCCCTCCAAGGGCAGATTCCTCTAGCCCTCTGGAGCATGGCCTACTAGGACCTCTGGCCCACAGGAGAAGACCACTTTTCTCTAGGAGTCTGACAAGAGCCTTGGCTCCCATGTCTCAACCTACCCCTAACCACTATCTCCACCCAAGGGACCCCAGCCCCTCTGCCACAGAGCCTCCAGGTCTGTATGGAAATGTGAAATCTCAATCATTGTTGAAGTTTGAGCTCAAGAGAAGACAGGTCCATCGTGAGGCCTCCAGGGGTCTCCTCTTCCCTGTACATGATTAGATATCCTGTCATCTCTCTACTACCCCTCTCCACCCCAAACTTACTGGGCTTTCAGGGATGCCCTTGCCAGGCACTAAGACATAGCACAATCTGGTAAGAGTTGCTAGTTAGACAATTCTCCACCCCACCCCCATCGTCAGTGCCTGTACTGTGTACACCTTGATTCAACCATCTCAGTATCCTGGGGAGTGAGCATGCTGTCCCTCTCCCCCATCCCGTTGCTCCCCCAAGCAGATGGTGCCAACTCCCTTATCTTCTCTCTGGGATACAACATAACTTAGAGGGAGCCTTAGTTTTCCCATCCTAAGGCTTGCATCCCCTGTCCCCACATGCAACTGCCTTAGCTAAAGGGAAGGAGGTGAAGTAAAGATGTGGGCCAGTGAGAAGGGCTGCTCCTGGGGACATCAGCACAGGGGCTTCCTAGCTCCAGCTTGGGGCCAGAAGTATTTGTGTGTGTGTGCGCATGTATGTCTCCGCCACAAAACTCCTGTGTATGTGCATGTTTTTGTTTAAGAAAAAAGAAAAAGAAAAATCTGAATAAATGTTTATTTGCTTTAAAACTGCGTAAGACAAAGACCTCCTAGTGGTGAATTGGTTTAAGTGTGTGCATGATATGCCCATAAAGTGCCTAAGTATGCATATTCTCACACGTGTGAATATGTACATGGGAGTAGAGATCTAGGCCAGACACAGAAGAGAGAGAATCTGGAGATGTTGTGGCGATTCTTGCCCTTGTTCTTCATTCACACTTGCCTTTCTGGAAATACCCAGGTTGGTTCCAATCTTTGCTTAACCAGTTCCTCCCTTCTACTCCCACTTTCCCCCAATCTGTGGATGCCAGTGCCAGTCCATCTTTCTGAAAGGAGTTCTGTCAGCTTTTTTGGACCCACAGCTGGAAGGTATCTTTGCCTAGTCCCTTCATTCTACAGGTGAGGAACATAAGTCCAGAGCTTAAGTGACTTTCCCAATGTCACACAGTAGTAAGTGGCAAAGCTAGGATTTGAACCCAGAACCTCTATTTCCAAAAACCAATGCTTGGTCCGCTGTGCCAGAGGAAGGTGGACTCTCCATAATCTAGAGACATCAGCATTTCCCCTATATCTTGTATGTGTTTGACCAAACATTATTCCATATACGGAGTGCTGTGTCAGGGAGGGGCTGATTATTTATGTGCTTATTATGTGCCTGAAGTACAAAGAAAAAACTGGTAAGGCAGTGGCTCTTGGAAGCTCACTGCATTAAGTAAAGAAATTAAATGCTGCCAGTCACCATGGGCCTAAGCCCTGTGGGGCACTCAGCCTGGTGGGGGGGACTGTAAGTTACAAAGTTAGTTCTGGTGCATATCGTTCCTAACTGCACATAAACCTGCTGGGGAGGTAAGAAGGTGAGGCAGAGATCCTTCCTCCACCCTAGGAGCTGAAAAGCCCTACTTCTTTCTTCCTTTCCCCTTCTTCTTCTGGCCCCTTGAGAATGAAGAACAAATAATGGGCACCATGATAGGCCCAGGCTACTATGGTCCTAATAATATGTTAAAATTTAATAATATATGTCTAGAATAAAGTATGTTGATAATATATACAATAATGTATGTTATCATCATGTAATATAGGCAGCTCCATGGAGTAGTGGATAGAGTGCTAGGCCTGGAGTCGGGAAGACCTGAATTATAATCCAGCCTCAGATACTCATTAGTTGTGTGACCCTGGGAGAGTCACTTAAACCTTTGTCTGACCCACTTTCCTCATCTGTAAAATGGGGATAATAATAGCACCTACCTCACAGTATTGTTGTGAAGTTTGAATAAGATAATATTTGTAAAGTGCTTAGCACAGTGCTTGGTACATAATAGGTGCTTAATAAGTGCTTGTTCCCTTCCCTTTCTACTAATAACTAGCATTTATGTAGCATTTTGAGGTTTACAAAGTGCTTTACAAATATTATCTCATTTTATTCTCATAACTGACCTGAGAGGTAGGTGGCATTATTATCCCCATTTTACAAATGAGGAAGAAGTTAAATGACTTGCTCAGAGTCACACGCCTAGGAGGTGTATGCAGCAGGATTTGAACTTGAGTCTTCTTGATTCCAGAGCCAATGCTCTATTCACTGTACCACCTAGCTACTTTATGCTCCAAGCCATAAATATCCTTGCCTGATTTTCCCTCTACTTGGCAACAGATAAGGATCTATGAGGGGATAAGGATAAGCCCCCAGCCTCTGATGACTCCCATTCCTCTGCCCTTTGAGGGTAGAAAGCCAGCAGTCTCTTTATTCTGCATTACCCTCAAGTCCCCTTTGGAGCTCTCCAACACACAAGTGACACCCAGAGGCCATTCAGTGATAAAGCAGCTGTTTGTTGTATTTTTGTTAAAGTGACAGTGACATGGGAATATGACTGAGGTTGGGGAGGGCACAAGAACTAGTTTGAGGAATGGGGAGGAAAGAGCTAAAAACTGAAGCATGCACAATGCCAGTACGATGTAAAAATGCAACAGCAGACCCTTAGAACTTATTAAGGGCCCCTGGGTCAGGGCACAGCATTAGAAAGCAGATAATTTTGTTCAGAAGTAGGGCAAAAAGATAAAAGCACTAGAGGAAGGAAAGAAAGCAGAGGACCTGTGGTAAGCTAGGGGGAGAATTCCACCTTAGAGGTTTAGCCCCAATGCTGTCTCCAAAGCTTCCTCTCCTGCAATACTGTGCATCCTCCCCTGCCCCAATCTCAGCCCCAGGAAGGTGGCCTAGGTAGGACTGGATGGAGAATAGATGAGGGTGTAAGGTGGTATGTGCACATGTGGGTTGACCCGGAAAAAACATCCCTCCCAGCTTGAGCTATTTTGCCACCTTCCCAAATCTCTTTAGCATTTGCCAATACATCTGTGTCCATTTCAGGTTTCCCGAGAGAGAGCACTGCCCTGGGCTACAGGATTATTGCCTAACCCCAGGGTCCCTAGAGAGGGGAAAACCCTATGGGAGCCTAAAGGAGGAAAACAGCCTTTTGTCCACTCCCCAAGACACAGGGAAAGAGTAAAGCCAAATGTAGGCTCTTCTTGGGGACAGGGAATGGGGGGAGCTGGGAAGAGTCTTCTCTCAGGAACCCCCCATAGCTTCATTGACAAAATATTCTTCAGGCCCAATCCTGCCCTTATAAAAAGTAACGGGAGGACTTTTTCAAGCTTGGTGATAGAAGCAACCTGAACTACCTCTCTCTCCACCCATCTCCTGACCCTTGCCCCCAACACAAGTCCACAGACTTCTTCTAACCCTGTTGCTTCATTCCCCACTTTAAAAGGGCTTACCTCATGATAAGAAAATAGATCCATATGAAAAAGTACAAAGCATTCCCTCCCTAGATAAGCCAGGAAGCAGGGTGGCAAGGCCTTTCCCACACCAGGGACCTTAAAAAACAAATAAGGCTCACATGGTGAGGAAAAGTGTCCTAGGAGACCCTCCTCCTTGCCCCTCCCCCCCAACCACCACCACCAGCATATCCTCTGCCATGGTTCCTGAGCCCCCAACAGGAGCACAGAAATAACCACTCTGCTTCTCAGAGGTTGAGTCCAAACACTAAGAACCACCCCACTTGGGAGGCTAAGTAATCAAGGTCAGAAGTCACTAAGGATGCTGATGTCAGCAAAGTCGGCTCGGTAGCGGTGGGCATATATGCTGAGCAAGAAGGCCCATTTGAAGGAGATGAAGCTCCATACACAGGAGAGGTAGTAGCTGGTGGGATCTGTCAAGCCTGCAGGAAGCAAGGAAAGGATGGTTACAAGAGATCCAAAGATGACTTTAGGTCCTGTCTCATAATGCTATCTTGTCTGCCAACACTTAAGAACAGGGGAGCCATTGTATACAAGGCAAAAGACAACCCCTCCCCAGATCCTATTGCATGATGCCCTTTATGTCTTGGAACCAACCCAACAGGAAGACCCAAATCTGATGAGTATTTTCTGGTCCAGACAAAGAGGGTAGGGACAAAGTGTGATGGAGAGGCTGGGTTAGTAAAGATGATTCGGGCAACTGGAAGATGGATCTGAGGCTGGCCAGTTATAGCTCTTTATCCTTAAGTCTGGGGTTACCATGCTTGAGTCACCCTACCTTATATTTATCCCAAACCTTGTTTTCTAGTACTGGATTGCATCAAGGGAACAAACCCATGTGTTACAGACCTTAAAGCAGCACATAAATGTGCATTATTATACTGCAGAACAACCACACCCCAATAATCTCAGGAGAGTGGAATGTGCTTTAAGCTCAAGACAAACTTATCAATTCTCTGTTAATTCAGTTTTTACCCAGTCAAGGGGTACCACAGACACTACTTGACACTGCTGCTTGACACATGGTTTGTCTTGAATCTGGTCTTACAGCGTTCCTCCTGTTTGACCTCTTCCCTATACCCATTTCACTCCAGCTGCATACCCTCCCGGACTCCAGGCCCTCACCGTGATGCCTAGTGATGGCCAGGACGAGGAAGGTGCAGACTGCGGTGATGGAGACAGTGGAGAAGAAGATACCCACGAGGAGGAAGCATCGAAGGCCCTTGAGCCAGGTGCGCCAGTAATCCTGGATGTACATCACATGTGTCGTCAGAGTCCAAAGCGCCAGCACACCTGGAGAAGGGGCACAGCGTCAGCCTGGCCCTCCTTACAGGAAGCTGAAGACCACAGATCCACAGGCAGCCCTGTATGGGCAGGAGGTATTCTTGAAGGGGGGCAGTAGCCAGGCCAACTCCCACTACCTGAAGTAGCAGAAGACAAGCCCCTTTAGCCTCACTATCTCTAAAAGAGGAAAGCCCTAGAGATTAGGCTTATTTGGAGACCCTGAAGCTCTGGCTAAGTGCCTCTCCCTTTTCTGCCCCTTGGGACCTCACACCACCTTCCTTTTCTTTTCTAAAACCTTCCAGGTTCCCTTCCCTTCAAAAACTACTCCTAACACCAGTACCTACTCCTCCAGGGGCCTCACTAATGACCGTCACAACACTTGTGGGACAGAAACCCGAAATCCACGCTCCCTCTAAGAGCCCACTCCTCAGCTCTATCACACACGCGCGCACACACACGCACGCGCTCATTTCATGGGAAGCTCTCACTAAATTTCCTGACTTCAGCCTGTCAAATAAACCCTGGGCTTGCCTCTCTCAAAGATTAGAAGTGACAGGTCTGAATAGTTCAGGTCACATATCTTACAGGGCTCCTCTTCAATACTTGGAGAGACGGCTAGGGTTGGAATTTGGGAAAGAAAAGATGGGCCCATGCCCACACACACTACCACCACCTTTCTTTGAACCTGTCCTTCAGGGCCTGGGGAGGCATTTTCCTTAGGATGACAGTAGCCAACCGGCCAACACAACAGGATCATTCTGTGCCAGCCAGTGCCAGTTGCTTAGCAACAATCCTCAGAATGTGATTAAGGCCCCAGAGTTCTGTAGCCATCAAAGACATGGGGAAAGAAAAATTTATACACTAACTACAACATTGTAAAGAAAAACAGCTGTGAAAGACTTAAGAACTCTGATCAATTCAATGACCAATCTTCACTCCAGAAAACTGATGTGAAAGAGGTGGGATGGATGAGAGGTACACAATGAGACACCATTTCCACAGATAGCTAAGGGGTGAGTCTGTTACAAGGGAGGGCTTTTATTTTCCTTTGTGCTGGGAGGTAGTGGAAAGAGTGGAAAAGGATTTGATAGTGATACTGACAAAAAAGAAAAACCAATGAATCATTAAAAAAACAAATAGAAGAAAACAGAAGGAAGTTCAAAAGGAGACAAGCAGAATAATACTGAAATTACCATATTAAACTTGAACTATACCAAACAAAAAACCACACATAATTTTTTAGAATTTTACCTAAAAGGAGTTTCATATACAATCCACATTTTTGTTTTTCATCGAATAGTGAGATGTTCATGTTTGTTGATGTTTGCTTATAATAAAAAATAATTTTAAAATACAGAGGAAAAGAAGACAGGCAAGGTCTTGGCAGAGCCATCCAGGCTACTAGATTCCCATAGAGTTTCATTACCTTTAGAGAAGGAAGTTTCACACCTGAGGTAGAGTTCTAGTCACTAGGCCAGTTAGTAGCCAAGGCCACAAATTAGTACCCCTCTACTGCCACCAAGAAGCGCTAGATGCAGATAAGGCCAGGAAAGAGGAACTATAAGAGTATTACAACTGAAATTCAGACTAGACTCAGACCTGGCATTTCTCTACCAAGCCATCAACACTGTTTCAGAAAAAGAACATTATTTGGGTCAATGGACCACCATTTCAGGGATATTCTCCTTCGTGGTCAGAAGAGATTCACAAAGGATGTGATTCCAAAGGAGGAATCCAGTCAACAACTCCAAGTTTTCCAGCAGAGGTTAGAGAGCCTGGGAGGACATGAGAGCTGCTCTCCCATGACTCAAGTGTTTTTTGGAACTAGAAACTGCTAAGTAAGGGACTAATGGAGATGCTGACCATGGAGTTCATGGGACATGAACTTTAAAAAGGGGAAAAGAGGAAAGAAGATGACACCCACCTCCTCTGCAGCCTTCCCAACACTCATTTCTTAAAGTATAAAAGAGGCAAAAAGTCAACATAAAAAGAGACAAAAGCCATCGGTATCTCCCCCTCCCAAACTGCTCCACTTCACCTGAGTGAGGAAACTTCCACAGGAACCCATACTGTATCATAGGTAAAAATGCCCATCCTAGGCATATACATATGGACAGAAAAGCTGTGTGCACAAGGGAAAACATGGTAACTGACAAATTATCCTCAAGACAAAAAACAGGTTGATCAATGGGAAGCATTAGCACACATACGACTCAATACAGATCTGACCCATCAGAAAAAATGTATGTATGGGCATCAAAATAGGACCCCAGCAACAAACCTGGCACATCATATTCTCCCAGAACCACTGCCCTCCAGCACCCCTGGTGGGGAAGATGTGACCCAGGGACACATGGTATTGCCAAGTTCAGCCCCCAATACATTAAATCCAAAGGATCATTTGTAAATGTTTATTCTTTTTTTTATGTTAGAGTGAGAACCTGATTTTTTTTTCTTTCTAAACAAAACCATACCTCAGTATGTTTTCTGCCTACAGATTTGAAGCAGGCCCCAAAAAATGGGCCCTGGCCCTTCACTCCGGCTGAACCCTTTTTGGTCAATGCCACCGAGCTCAGGAGCTGAGTCCTTCCATTACTATGCTGCCTGGCAAGACTCCCTTATTGCTCTCTGGTATCATGCCCAGATAGCTTCACATGCCAGCACCACTGGACATGGGGAAGGAGGAAAAAAAAAGCTGGAGCTTTTCTCCTATGACTCAGCACAAGTGTCAGAAGCCATGTGATCTCAAGTCAAGGGGCTAGCTATATAATTTCTTTTGTTCCAAAGATGACCCAGAGGTTACCCTCATCCTTAAGGCTCTTAACATCTAGGAGGCAAAGAGGGATAATGGGATGCAAATACTATCAAGAAGCAGCTTCTCCCAGTGCCCAATTATGGGTCACTAGACATACTGGCAAACACCTATAACATTAAGGTGGATTTTATAATCCCAGAGACTCATTTGCTGGGAGAGTCAAAGCATTTCCTAGGGCCCCACTTCTGCCTTTTATGATTTGGGTACAAGGTACAAACTAGAAACTCTTTTCTGCAGATATTAAGATATTAAAAATCTTGAGTGTGGGTATTAGAATTATATCATAAGAAGGGACCTCAGACATCTAGTCCAATTCCTTCATTTTAAAAATGAAAAATCTAAGGCCTAAGGAAGTTAACTGACTTGCTTAAGGTCTCTCAGCTAAGTAACTTTTAGATCCTTGTCCATCAGGCCCTTTTTAAGGGATGAGGCAGATATACTTAGAGATCTTGCCCTATTGCTAGAAACTGATTTCCCTCCCATAGATCTCATCACCCTATAGCTGATTCTCCTTTGCAACTCTTTTAAATCAAGTTGCAGATTCATGGGCAAAGGGGAAAAGTTCAGAGCACATTTTTCATTAGATTGACATTCAGACCTCTCAGATACAGCATCTGAGTATTCATAATCAAAGTTATTATAGCACCTTTACATTTTGTTTTTTCTTTGTTCAAAGTGTCTTCCCATAGATAATCTTATTTTATCCTCCATTAAGATAAAGTGGGTGGTGCAATCCTCCTTTAACGGATGAAGAAACAGACACAATGGTAAAGTCAGCTGCCCAACATTCCCATTAAGTTGGAGTTATGTAGGGCCTTCCGATTTTCTTACCACACCGGGGCACCACCCCCCCACCCCTTTTCTTTGCACAGGGATCCACCTCAATAAGCAAGGTCAACAGAGCTAACCAGAGTTCCAGAGGGAAAGAAGTACTGTGTTACTCTTGGGTTCAAGAAAGGGACCCTACCACATTCTTGGGCAACTCTGAACTGACAACCCGCACGGCCTGGACGCCAGGTGGGCATTTCTAAATCCAGAAAGAACTTGCCTAATTCCCTCTCCCCGTGGTATCATCCCCAGGAAAGGCCTCACTTTGACAGTTTACTGTCACAGACCTAAGCCCCCAAGAGAAAAATAGTAGTTCCGGTGGATAGACAAAATCTACATAAGGTTTGAAAAAACCAAATAATAAAGAGGTGCCAGAAGCCCTCGCCACTTCAGGTCCCCGGTTAGCTAAGAGCAGCTGTTAAGGCTAAGCCTAAAACGCAGGCGGGCGTGGGATGGGATGGTGGAGAAGGCCAGCGACCTGCTGCACAAGGCGGGGTCCGGCTCATCCAAGTGCAGGAGGCGGCAGAAGAGCGAGATCCCAAGGGTCAGGGCGCGAGCCAGGGGAGCTATGCAGATGTATGCAAATGAGCCCTCCCATGATGCCCCAGGGGTCCTGGGTGCTCAGAGGAGCGGAGAAAGATGACCTCCATCCTTCCTCGAGGGCGAGGGCGCCCTGGCACAGAGGGCCGGGGGGAGCGAAGAGCTTCAGGCCGAGTAAGGGTCCCCATCCCTGGCCCACCCGCCTGCCCCGTCGGGTACCTGCGAGGCCCCCCATAGCGGCGGTCCCAGGCTGGGGGAAAACGAAGGTCCAGACGAGGAAGGCGGAGAGACCCGTCACACAGCCGACCGCCGCGTAGGCGGTGCGGATGCCGAGCTGCAGCCGGGACGGGGCCATGGGGGCTGCTGCGGGAAACCGGCAGAGGCGCCGCGGCGCGGTAAGAGGGGAGCCAAGCTGCGAAGCCTCAGGTGCCGAGCTGGGCGGGGAGCTACACCCGGCGGTCACGCTAGCCCCGAGGCTCCGCCTCCTCCCTCGCGGCCGCGGCCGCCCCCGCGCCCGCCCCAACCCCATCCCCATCACCGGGAACTCGCGGAGCCGCGTTGGGCCGGGCAGCCCGCTGCAACAGCGCCCTCGCTGGCCGGAGGCCGCGCGCCAGGCTTAACCTCAAACCCGTGCTCTTCCGCAGCGGAAACTCGGCGGGGGCCCTATAGCCAGTCCAAGTACCCGGGCACGCAGTTTTTAGGAACTGCAGGGATGTGCAAAGCAGTGGGAACTAAGTAAAATAACCTATTTTATTGACCTACGCAGTAATCCTTAAAACCATTTACATCCATAAGGAAGAAAAAAAAAAAAACTCATATGCCATAGGTTTTCCATTTGCCGCAGTCACTTGTTTTTACAAAATCTGGTGTTGAGCTCACAAAATTGTGACGTATATTCTTCAGCTCTTCATTAGGAATCCATATATCACGTTCCATGTTTTATTTTTTAATTTACAATATTTGTTTTCTCTCGCCCCTCCTAGGGATGGGAGGGGGGAGGGAAAAAAATCCTTGCAACAAATATACATAGTTAAGCAAAGCAATTTTCCAACATTGGCCATATGAAAAAATGTTATCTCATTAGATATTAAATGTAACTTTGACGGCGGTCCACTTTCCTAAGTTTATTTAGCCTTGCTATTAACCCATAGGTTTTATTTTTGTTTGTTTTTAATTTAACTTAGTTCTTCAATTAGCTACCATTTATTTTCTCTCCCACGTCTACCACGTTGAAAAGAACAAAAACAAAATCCTTGTAAGAAATATATATAATTAAACAAAACAAATTCTATATTGGCCATGTCCAAAATTGTTGTCCCATTAGATATTAAGCATGCCTTCCAGAAACAGTCCCATTTTCCCAAATTTAGCCATGCTAAAACCCATAGGTTTTTCTTTTTGTTTGTTTTTAATTTAATTTGGTTTTTCAACTAACAGACATTTATTTCCTCTCCCTTTCACCTCTCCCACACTGAAAAGAAGAAAAACAAAACCCTTGTAACAAATATGCACAGTCAGGCAAAACAAATTCCCTAAATTGTTCATGTCCAAAAATGCATGTCTCATTCTGTACAGCCTATAGGTTTTCTTTTTTTCTTAATTTTATTTTCTCTTGCAAATTCTAATACACCCCCATTGAGAAAGCAAGAAAAATAAAACCCATTACAAATATGTAAAGACACAAAATAGATGTCCACATTATCCATATTCCAAAAAGGGAAGGAAAATATGCTTCAATCTGCACTCTGAGGCCATCAGTTCTCTTTCTGGAGGTAGATAGCATGTTTCATCATGGGTCTTTTGAAACTGAGGTTGGTCATGTGTTGATCAGTCTTCCAAAGTTGATTATCTTTGCAATATTGCCTGCTGTCACTATATAAATTGTGCTTGTTCTGCTTACCTCACTTTTCATGAGTCCAAGTCTTCCCTGGTTTTTCTGAAACCACCCCTTCACATTTCTTGCAGCACAATAGTATTCATCACATTCACTTATTATAACTTGTTCAATCATTCCCCAATTGAGGGATATCCCCTCAGTTTCCAATTCTTTACTACCACAAAAAAAAAGCTGCTATAAGTATTTTTAAACATATGGGCCCTTTTCATCTTTTTTGACCTCTTTGGGGTATAGACTAGGTAACAGTGTCACTGGGTCAAAGGGTATGTACAGTTTAATAACTTTTGGATAACTTTTTGGTCATAGTTCCAAAATGGTTAGAAAAGTTCACAGTTCGACTAGCAGTGCTTTAGTATACCTATTTTCCCACATCTTCTCCAGTATTTGTCATTCTCCCTTTTCAATCTGATGGATATGAGGTGGTCCCTCCAAGTTGTTTAAATTTCTGTATTATTAGAGATTTAGAACATTTTATATGGTTATTGATAGCCTGTATTTCTTCTTCTGAAAACTGCCTATTCGTATCCTTTGACCTTTTACTAATTGGGGATGACTCTTAGTCTTATAAATTTGACTCTGTTTTCTATATGTTTTAGAAATGAGACCTTTATCAGAGAAACTTGCTGCAAAGGTTATTTCCCAGTTTTCTGCTTTTCTTCTCATTTTAGCTTTATTGGTTTTGTTTGTGCACAGACTTTTAAATTTTATGTAATCAAAATTATCCTTTTTATTTCCTGTGTACTACTTCATTTCTTGTTTGGTCATATACTCTTCCCTATCCATAGATTCAACAAGTAATTTCTTCCATGTTCTATTAATTTGCTTGTGATATCATCCTTTATGTCTAAATCATGTACACATCTTGAGCTTATCTTGGTATGCAGCATGAGATGTCAGTCTGTGCCTGGTTTCTACCAGACTGCTTTCCAGTTTTCCCAACAGTTTTTGTCAAAGAATGAGTTCTTGCCCCCATAGCTGCTATCTTTGGGTTTATCAAATACTAGATTACTGTGCTCATTTGCTTCTGCATATTATGAAACTAAACTGCTCCCCCTGGTCAGCCTCTCTTATTTCTTACCCAGTACCAAATTGTTTGGACAATTATAGCCTTTTGGTATAGTTTGAGATCTAGTACTGCTAGGCCCCTTTCTTTCCTGGTTTTTTATATTTTTATATTTTTTAAATTTAATTTTTTAATTAAATTTAAATTAAATAATAAATAATAAATAAATTAAATAATTAATTAATTAAATTAAAAATTAAATTTTTAATTTTAAATTTTATTTTTTTAAAATTTTTGTGTTCTTGATCTTTTATTCCTCTATTGGGGTGGGGAATCTGCTGTAGATGAATTTTTTTTTCCTAGCTCTATAAACTAATTCTTTGATAGTTTAATTGGCATGGTACTGAGTAAGTGAATTATTTTAGGTAGTATTGTCATTATTATTACATTGGCTTAGCCTACTCATAAGCAATTAATATTTCTCCAGTTATTTATATCTGTCTTTATTTGTATGAAGAATGTTTTGTAATTGTGTGTATCTTGGCAGGTAGATTCCCAGGTATTCTATAGTTTACTCAAAAAGCTCGTCCTTTTCAGAGCTGTTTCCTCTCTTGGTTAACTCCCTAGAGTGTGTATCTTACTTTGTAAAGAGCCACCAAGGGTATGGCTGAGTCTTTGGTCAACCAATTGGTAGTAGCCCTCCAATTACATAAAGCTTGACTGAGGAGCTTTTTCATTCCTTGAAAAGGGATGATGGAGAGTTCAACTTCATTTAAGACCTTAATACCTCATTGTCTCTGTTATCAACCTATAGGGAGAAAGGTGGCTGGCTTCAGCTTGCCAGTTCAGGTTTGATTTTGGGGTAAAAGAAGATAATCCCAGGTAACTCAATAGTTAACATAAGTAGGCTTATTTAGCCTTATGATAGAAAGGATATTCAACAAGGATGCAGTAGCAATTAGCTCTGTAGCTTCTTCCTTTGTCTTAAGGGAAAGCTCCCTGGTCAGCAGGACAGGTTGTATGATTTGCTCAGCTCCAGGACAATTGTCTAATCTGAAGGGCCTTGAACCTATCAATATGGCCAGAGGCTACCAAGAAGGTGCATCAACAGAGGTGCAGTCCCAGGCCAGGAATAACTTTGTCACCTTTTAGGGAAAAACTAACCTAAGTCATGTTGGAAATGAGGAGAAAAAAAAAGAACCTGGTAGATATGGGTCTTATCACACTGCCCCCTTACATTTTGCAATTTCATCAATTGGGTTGGGAGAAGTAAGGAATTAGTTGATCCTGATCAACTAATTATATTATAGATATAATAACTTTAGACAGAGCAGTTTCAGTTGAATAATAATGTGAAAAGTCAGATTGCAAGGGGCTGAAAAGAGAGTAAGAGGAAAGGAAATAGAGCCAGTAAGCATAGACAGATTTTTCTAGCGGTTTGAAATATAAGAAAATTTTAACAATAAAAAGAACAGAAGGCAAATAAGTGGTATAGACAATAAGTGCTATGAGTTCATGGGAAGAAAAGACCAATATTGATTGTAAATACAATAGATGTGTGTAGAGTTTGGACTAGGTGTGGTGGCTAGGGTAAGCATTGCCATTGGCATTGCCCCTAAGGAAAAGAATTACATATTTTCAGTTGAGTTACCATCCTGTCAGTCACCCAGGTTGACAACCTAAGAATCATCTTCTATTTCTCCTCTCTGAAATTTTCCTTTCTGGAAAGTGGCTAAAAGTAATAAATGCACCAGAGTATGCCAGCATAGCTGGGCACACCCAGCCCATACTAAATAAGTGCTGAATATAATTAATTCCAGGGCAGCTAAGTAGCATAATGGATAGAGCGCCAGGCCTATGATCAGGAAGATTCATCTTCACGAGTTCAAATCTGGCCTCAGACACCGTGTGACCCTGGGCAAATCATTTAACCCTGTTTGCTTCAGTTTCTTCATCTGTAAAATGAGCAGGAGAAGGAAATGGTAAACCACTCTAGTATCCTTGCCAAGAAAACCTCATAAAGGGTCACAGACTGAAAAACAACTAAACATAAGAAAAATTTGTCCTAAAATTGGAGAGATCTTTTCATCTTAAGTCTCCTGGGGACAACAGTAGATAAATTAATGACAAAGATTATATTGCCAAGTAGAATATTGCCAGATAGAACTAGGGGAAAGGAATAGATGGAGGAAGGGAGAAGATAATTGGAAGAGATGTGGTCTACAGGAGGCCAGCAACCTTGTGTTTGACACCACTGACCGCTTTGCAAATGTTCTACCTAAATACTTCTTATTGTTGTTCGGTTGTCGTTTTTAAATTTGTATTGCTTTTGATCAGTTTCTTTAAAATATTTTTGTAATCCTTTTTTTGTAGTCCTTTGTGTCTCCTTATGATTAATTTAAGCGTGCAGAAAGGGGGTGGAAGTGGCTCTACTGTATACTCAGAGGGTCAGACAAAAGCTCATGGCATGTTTATTTAATTTAGATCAAAACATTTCAGAGGAAATCTACTTCAATTCCTTTGTTTTAGT